TCTGCAGTCTTGTCCAGAAGAGCAACAGCCCTTCAGTCTGGGTCTTCTCCTTTAGGACTAGGACCCTACTATTCCAGGCTCCAGACTATTATATACACAGCCCCCATCTGGTCATCCCTTTGACCAGGGATTGGCTGAGTCTGTATCAATATTCAGCCCAGGGTCTGCCTCTTCCAACCCGCTATATTCAGAAACCTACTACATAACAGGGGGGAGTAGTTGAGCCTGCAACCAGCAGAACCCAGAACAGCAATCAAACTCTGCTTCACTGACTACAAAGGAACCAAAAACTAAATGTACTTAATTCTACTAGCAACCTAAAGAGTGAAGGAATGTTGTCACTTTATGACAGGAACTGAATTACTGGCAGGATCACCAGGCATAAATAAAGAGGGAAAAAGCAAGAAAAGGGGAAACTAATTGAGCCATCTTGAGACATCTAAGTATTGGTGCACTGCAAGATATTACATTTTTGTTTTTGGATTTAGATAACCTTTAACATTTGACTTTAAGTGTACAGTGCCACTTGTGTATTTAAATAAAGCTTTATGTTCTAAACAAATGTTCTATTAGAGTACATCACGGAGCTAGACTCATCCCCAATCTCCATGACATTAACCTCATCACGGTAGGCTCCAACTTGCAAGCCCAATCTCCTTCTGCAAGGCCAGTCTTTAAAACCCATTTGTATTCACAGCCTCTCCTGAAATTGATTGCCAATGCATTGGTAAGGCTTTGTAAATTGAACAGAGAATGAATTGGCACGAAAAGTTAATATCAGGGGTACTCTGTAGTAAATCATTAGCAAACTAGTTGAAATGTCAGGTTCACATGCCATTCATATTAAGGCGACTCATGAATATTAACATTTTTTTGTGTTTGAAATATATGGTATTACGGATTAGAACATTTTTCTACAAACTGAGTTGGGGCATAATTGATATATATCATCATCTTATGAATTATTAATAGATAAGTATCTTAATGATGTCGCTATAGCATATCTCTTTCGACTTGCTTAAGAATCTAATTTAGTGCAGACCTGCCGCAATCTTCAGGAAGGGAACCAGCTTTTATGCCGGGTTTTAAGGACCTTTATTATTTTTTTTTTTCCTGAACGACATGAGAAGAAAAACCACTTTATTCATTATATTTTGCTTGCGGGCTGCAGAACATAAACACGATAATCTGATTCAATTATGGGAAGAATACGAATATTAGAGGATATTGCTTGAATGTAGTATTTAAATATCTGCAGCTCGAGCTATGGCAGAATGGTACTTGTTGGTGAAAAGTGCATGTCATAACCTCAAGTAAATAATAAAAAGATTTTATATCGCTGATTGTGCTTAAAAACTAGAAGCTGGTAATTCACTGGAGAACAGGGATGAACACAATGATTGGCAATCCACTATGGATCGAGGCAGATCTGACACATCACTGCACAGAGCAGGTGAGTATAGACTTTTTTTTTTTTTAAAACCAAAGCTTTAGTGTCACTTTAAGCACCTGTTTACAACGGTGCAACTTGTCATACTGTTGGACCGTTTAAATCGCATGACAAGTCGCACCCAATTATCAGCAATGAACTTCGTCGGAGTTGAAAAGTAGTGCCTGCACTACTTTTAGGAATTTTGAGTGTTACTTGCATAGACAGTCATGCATGAAGTCGCACAGATTTCTTACAAGTCACACCTGAAGTCGCACTGACATCCAACTTTGAAATCATGCGACTTCAAGTGAAGTCGCAGAATTTCAAAGTCGTATTCAGTGTGAACCCATGCTTACTGAACTGAACTTATTGAGCTGAAGTTAGAAGATGATATATATAGAGAAAAGGGTGCAGCGCTGCACCCTTTTCTCTATATATATTGTCTTGGAAGGTTATGTTGGTTACCTTTTTGGTGTTCTAGCAGCTTACATCGAATTTTCATTACAGTAGGTGCTCGCTATACAATCTACTTTTTGAAGTTAGAAGATGACTGGCTATCATGCACAGATGCACCAGATTCTGAGTGCACCAGTTTTAGTAAATCAACCCCACAGTGTATTTACTCTAAGCCCCAAATAAAAAATGTAATACACTGCTCAACAAAATTAAATGAACACTTAAGTATAGCATCAAGTCAATTAAACTTCTGGGATATTGATCTGGTCAGTTAAGTAGCAAAGGGGGTTGTTAATCAGTTTCAGCTGTTTTAGTGTTAATGAAATTAACAAAAGGTGCACTAGATGAGCAACAATGAGACGACCCCCAAAACAGGAATGATTTAACAGGTGGAGGTCACTGACATTTTTTTCCCTACTCATCTTTTCTGACTGTTTTTTACTAGTTTTACATTTGGCTAGGGTCAGTGTCACTACTGGTAGCTTGAGGTGATACCTGGACCCTACAGAGGTTGCACAGGCAGTCCAACTCTTCCAGGATAGCACATCAATACGTGCCATTGCCAGAAGGTTTGCTGTGTCTCCCAGTACAGTCTCAAGAGCATGGAGGAGATTCCAGGAGACAGGTAGTTGCTCTAGGAGAGCTAGACAGGATCATAGAAGGTCCTTAACCCATCAACAGGACCGGTATCTGCTCCTTTGTGCGAGGAACAGGATGAGCACTGCCAGAGTCCTACAAAATAACCTCCAGCAGACCACTGGTGTAAATGTTTCTGACCAAACAATCAGAAACAGATTTCATGGGGGTGACCTGAGGGCCCAATATCCTCTAGTGGGACCTGTGCTGCCAGATTAACCCTGAGAACATTTGACAAATGTGAAAGGGTCTGGAGAAGCCGTGGAGAATGTTATGCTTCCTGTAACATCTTTCAGCATGATTTGGTGGTGGGTCAGTGATGGTCTGGAGAGGCATGTCCATGGAGGGACGCACAGATCTCTACAGGCTAGACAATAACTCCCTGACTGCCATTAAGTAACGGGATGAAATCCTTGAACCCATTGCCAGACCATATGCTGGTGCAGTGGGTCCTGAGTTCCCCCTGGTGCATGACCATGCCCGGCCTCATGTGGCAAGAGTATGCAGGCAGTTCCTGGAGGATAAATGAATTGATACCAATGAATGGCCACACATTTGCCTGCCCTAAATCCAAATGAACACCTCTGGGATATCATGTTTTGGTCTATCTGACGCCGCCAGGTTGCACCTCAGACTATTCATGAGCTCAGTGATGCCCTGGTCCAGATCTGGGAGGAAATACCCCAGGACACCATCTGCCACCTTATTAGGAGCATGCCCCAATGTAGTCAGGCATGCATACAAGCACGTGGGGGCCTACAAACTACTGAATACCATTTTGAGTTAGTGCAATGAAATTTCAGCAAAATGGACTAGCCTGCTGCATCATTTTTTCACTTTGATTTTTGGGGTGTCTTTGAATTCAGTCCTCTGTAGGCTGATAATTTTAATTTCCATCAAACGATGGCGCATCTTTACGTTCCTAACAGATTACGCAGTCCATATCACTATAGATATCCAGCATGATATTTTCCCCATTGAGATCTGATGTGTTTTCAAAGTGTTCCTTTACTTTTTTTGATCAGTGTATATTTCAGCTTACCAGGCCTTAGCTATGCTGGCTGCATTATTTTTCCTTTTATTAAGCTTTTGCCCTGTGGTATTCAGTGATTCTACCAGTAATACAATTCCTGCCCTACGACTACAGTGTCTATGGGGGAGCAATGCTGTCACCATAGGCTTCTCTCCTTATTATCCTGTTTTCAAATTTTATGAACTTGCAGCAAAAACTAATGCAGCCACAACATCTATGGACAGGCAAGCTGCAATTTATAATATTTTTTTTCTTGGGCTTAATTTTGACTGGAAAGCAATGTAGAGTGGAGCTACATTTCATGGCTGCACCAGGATGATGTAATTTCGATGCATACAGTACATGGGAGTTCATTCATTTTTGCAGATGCTGAAATTGCACACTGAGCTGTGCATTGGAGCTCCCTCACCAGCTGCCATCAACTTCAACGAGTCTTCTTCTGAGTATGGGATTTTCAGGGTACAGTCATGGGAATAAAGATATTTTTTGCACATTATTGATTTATGTTTTTGAGTTATTGTGAGACACCTGAAACTCTTCATATATTGTTGCTTCCACTGCAAATTTTTATTCTGATATCAAGTTCAAACTAAACAACTCCAGTATTTAAATGACAGAATGCTATGCATTAAAAACTGTGTCTAATTTAAGCAACCTAAACTGTCACTAAACATGTAAAGTAGGTAACCGGATGTTGCAGAATGTGCTTTCCATTTCTTGCAGAACCCCTGCACCCAGAGTCTGTCTTATGCAATTTTTCAAGTAGTGTCTGTGTTCAAGAGCTTGGGCCTGCCCCTCCTACCCTAAACTATTAAACAGCAAAACCACCCCTGATAGGTCTGGGCCAATGGTGAGCTGCAGGAATGGGGCTAGAAGTCAAACTCTAATTTTTTACATAATAGTTACTGAGGTTTTTGGACTCTAAAGTGTTCCTCATGTACCTGGTAGAAGAGCCTGATATGATGAATAGGACTTCTCTTACACCTTTGACTCGGGGACACTGATAGTGTGAACAGTAGGCACAGGAGTGCAGAGTGGCATGAGGGCCTGTAGGTCTTGCTTACAGCAGAGCAGGTGTTCACATCAGGCAGGAGTAGTGGACAGTGGTCTTCAGTGAGGCAGGAACACTGCATGGTAGCTGGTAGGCAGACTGAAGCAGACTGGAACTGGCGAGGCATATGCTGGTATCAAAAAGTAGATAAGCAAGCACAGCCAGATGATAGGCAGGTGCCGGTGACATCAGGAGGATTTGAAGAGTCAGACAGGCCAGGTCATACACTGGCAGGACAGATCAAGTACAGAGGCACAGGAAAGAGTGTGGTCAGGGTACAAATCAGTTCAGGACCCCATCAGGGGAGCAGCAGCAAATGGAGCAAGCAGAAGTGGTGGTCAGAAGACAAGCTGAGGTCAGTACAGGCAGGGGCGGACTGACAACTCATGGGGCCCCCGGGTAATAGGGGATCATGGGGCCCCTGTGTCCTTGCCCAAACTCAAAAAAACCTATGAAAAAGGTACCAGGGGCATCTCATGGGGCCCCCTACTGACCCCGGGCCCTCGGACAGTGCCCGAGTTTCCAAATGGTCAGTCCACCCCTGAGTACAGGCAGAGTTCAGAAAGTAGTCAGGACAAACCAGGTCAGCAACTGAAGTCAGGATACAGGGTCTTAGGATGCAGGGAAGGCTGAAGAAAAAGCAGCACTGGCTCAGTTTAAATAGCCCATTTGATGCCACCATCTGTCATGAGTGCATGGCGTGAGCACGCAGTTGTGCCCGTGTATGCACACGCATATGTGACCAATTCCTACGTCTATGAGAAGGAATATGGATTAACCTATGACGATGCACAGAAGTCTGCCCAGAGGAACCATCTTGTCTACTGGTTTGCCCTTCCTGACAGTATGTGACCGTTTTTGCAGAAACCTGCCTGTTGGGCTTCATGTCTGGTCAGAAGGCTTAAAGTAAACACACAGATTCCCTTTAAGGCTCATTAATCAAGGTTTGAAATCAAGAGTTTTACAATTTTAATAGTTTTACCTTTATAAAAAGTTGTTTGGTGGAACTTACTGCTAATTTTTTTACCATATGTCAATGACAATACCAAACACAAAACAAAAATAATCCTGTGACCTATGCTGCAGATTTTGCCAGCTTGTTAATACTTATTTTGCTTGTTATTTTTCTGAAAGTATTTCTGGTTATTTTCAGTGCTTTCACTCTTATGCAATTCATTATGTTTACCAGAGTGAGTCTGACAATGCAGTTGACTACTGTAACTCCCTCCTCACTGGCCTGCCTCATCGCAGGCTATCCCCACTCCAGTCCATCATGAATGCTGCTGCCAGACTCATTCACCTTACTAATCCGCTCTGTATCTGCCACCCCTCTCTGCCAATCCCTCCACTGGCTTCCAATTGCCCAACGGATAAAATTCAAAACACTAACACTGATGTATAAAGCTGTTCATAACACTGCCCCTATTTACATCACTGACCTTGTCTCTAAATACCACCCAAACCGCTCCAAGCCTGGTATGATCTTCTAGCACTTAACCACACGGACACCAAATTAATCCCTACCCTGATTGCAACTCTACATTTCATTATTCCTCTCCTAAATCTGCTACAATGGGAAAAACAAGGCATTTCATATATCCGGGAAATCTACACAAACAACAAACTACATTCCTTCTCAACCCTCCAAGAGAAATTTCATCTCCCCAACAATGAATTCTACACCTACACACGAAAAGCGCATTCCTTACAACAACTGAATATCCCACATACAATGGCAATCCCAACTGCTACAATCAATTTCCTACAAAAACCACATTAACTTAAGAAAGGGATCTCAACCTTTTATACACTCATTACTAATGCCCAGTTTACCTCCTCTCTATCCAACTGGGAAACTAATCTCTCACTACCAATACAACCTCACACCTGGGAAAGAACCTTTACTATCACCCGTAAAGCTTCCAGATGCAGTTCACACTGGGAAACGTACATGAAAATTTTACACCAATGGTACCTAACACAAACCAAACTATCTTTGTACTACCCTCAACATTCCCCCAATTGTTGGAGACAATGTGGAGAATTGGGTTCACTTCTACATATAATGTGGACATGTAAATCTCTCATATCCTATTGGAACAAAGTGTTTCAAATGCTTTCTTCAATCACTGCATCCCCAATGACGCCAAACCCAGCTTTAGCACTCCTACACATAGGGATCGAAAAATTCCCTATAGATTCTCGCACCATCATCATACACACATTAGCAGCCGCCAAAATCAACATCGCCAAACTATGGAAATCGTCTAACACCCTCTCTCTCTCAGATCTCATTACGGACCTAAATTTTCAATGCGAGATGGAAAAGAGATCAGCACTTCATAAATCCTCTTATCAGAAATTTGAATTTCAATGGTCTCGATGGCTACAAAACCCCAACTGTACTGTAAATTGATACCCATATAACCATACTATATATGAACCTGTGTAATTGACTGGTGCTTAGTCCTCCCCTCTCCCTATACACTTCCCCTCCCTCCTCCTTCCCCTAAACCTCTCCTATTCCCTACTCTCTTTATATGTAACACCTCACCCAATCCTGGTTCACACTAAGCCAAGTATACCTCTCAGGTAAGCATAATCGTTATTGATGCTGTCCCTAGCCAAATGGTAGGGAAACTACTGAATTTATACCTTGCTATTTTACGTGAACCGTACTGTCACATCATATCCTGTTCTGTTAAAAATGTTTTCAATAAAAAAAATATTTGAACTAAATACCACCCAAACCGTACTCTCCGCTCCTCGCAAGACCTCCTACTCTCTAGCTCCCTTGTCTCCTCTCATGCTCGTCTTCAGGATTTCTCAAGTGCTTCACCCATCCTCTTGAACTCCCTACCCCAAGCTATCAGGCTATTGCCTACTCTGCTCACTTTTAGGCGCACTCTGAAAACCCATCTCTTCAGGGAAGCCTACCCCGACCCCAGCTAATACTGGAATTCCCTACTCCTACCACTCCATCCCCCACAGCTAATTACCTCTTGGACCACTATCCCCTCCCTCCTAGATTGTAAGCTCCAAGGAGCAGGGCCCTCTAATCCCTCTTGTATTGAACTGTATTGTTACTGTACTGTCTCCCTCCAAAATGTAAAGCGCTGAGCAAACTGTCGGCGCTATATAAGTCCTGAATAATAATAATAATAAAAATGGCAGCACTGATTTCTTTTTTAACCGCTTCCCATCCACCCTTATAGCAGAAATACTGCTGCAGGGCAGCATGGGTACACAAAATCATAAATATATACAGATTTTGCATCTCTGGGTAGGGGGTGCATGAGGGGTGCCGCGCTCTATCCGCGCCGCCATTCGTGGCCGCGGCTGTCAATCATCGGGGTCCCGGCCAGTAATTACTCGCTGGCGCCCAGTGATTTCCAAAGATCTCTGACGGGGAGGAGGACTGGTTTGTTTATTAACAGTCCTCCTCCCTGTAAGCTGAGGCACACAGTGTCATTACAGTGAAGCACACTGACACCGCCCCCCTAGAAAAACACTCCCTGCACACAGTTAACCCTTTCATCACCCCTCATGTTAACCCCTTCCTGCTCAGTGCCATTAGTACAGTGTCAGTGCTTTTTTTAGCACTGATCACTGTATTGGTGTCACTGGGCAAGTCAGTTCCCCCAGTGTCTCAATGTCCGCTGCAGTCCCCAGTCCTACTATATGTCGCTGATCACCGCCATTACTAGTAAAAATAAAAAATAACAAAAAAGTCCAGTATATATACCCGCCATTTGTAAATGCTATAACTTTCGCGTAAACCAATTAATTTACACGTATTGGGATTTGTAGCAGACATGTAGCAGAATACAATTTAGTGTAAAGTTATGATGAAATACGATTTTTAAATTTTTGTTACTGGACATGTTTAACCACCAGCTTACAGGACACGTACACCCCCTTCCTGTCCAGGCCAATTTTTCAGCTTTCAGCTCTGTCACATTTTGAATGACAATTGCGCGGTCATGCAACACTGTACCCATATGAAATTTTTATCATTTTTTTGTGACAGATAGAGATTTATTTTAGTGGCATTTAGTCAGCTCTGGGTTTTTTATTTTTTCTTAAGCAAACCAAAAACCACTGAAAATTTTGAAAAAAAAAATGTTTTTTCATAGTTTTTGTTATAAAATTTTGTAAATAAGTGATTTTTCTCATTCACTGATGTGCGCTAATGAGGCTGCAGTGATGGGCACTGATAGGCTGCAATGATGGACACTGATAGGTGGCACAGATGGGGAGGCACTGGTAGGTGGCACTGATGGGCATTGACAGGCATCACTGATGGGCACTGAAAGGCAGCACTCATATATGGCACTGATAGATGGCACTGATAGGCGGCACTGACTGGCACTGATAGGCGGCAATGACTGGCACTGTTAGGTGGCACTGGCTGGCACTGTTAGTCGTCACTGATAGGCAGCACTGAGGGGCACTGATAAGCGGCACTGATGCACACTGATAGGAAGCACTGACTGGCACTGACTGGCACTGATGGGTGGCACTGATTGGCAGCACTGATAGGTGGCACTGACTGGCATTGATAGGTGGCACTGACTGGCACTGATGGGTGACACTGAAAGGCAGCTCAGATGGGCACTAATATGTGACATTGATGTGCACTGGTAGGCACTGAAATGTGGCATTGATGTGGCATGGATAGGCACTGGCAGGTGGCATGCATGAGCACTGACAGCTGGCACTGATGGACACTGACAGGTGGTGCTGCTGGGGCTACACAGATCAGTGCACATGTCCCCTCTGAGGGATGCTGAATACCGGCTCTGCTCTCCTCTCGAGCTGTCAGCGTGACAGCTCGTGAGGAGAGAAATGCCGATAACCGGCATTTTCCTATTTACATGCGATCAGCTGTGATTGGACATAACTGATCACATCCCAGCCGGATTTTAAAAAAACAGCAGCTCAGACTGCAATGCTCAACTCATTCCTGGTGTTGTCCCCAACAGTAATTCCATTTTCTCCAGTGGATGTCCTCAGTCTTCAGATTGATGACATCCTGTGCATGCAGGGTGTCATGGACCTGCCCCCTGAGGATGTCATCACATCAGAGCCAGTACTTTATGAAGGACCACCTACTGGTGGAGAATATCTCAAAAAGAAAATTACATTACAAAACTAGCCTGAAGACTTCTAGAAAAGGTAAGTATTAAAATAAAAACATAAAATGTTGCTGGGGTGGGGACGGGGGTTGGTTTAAGTAGCTTCCAGAGGAGCACTGTGGGAAGAAAGTCCAGAGTTGGGATTTATTCACCATTGTTTAGGATCTTATTCATGTGCTGATGATTTTCACGACATTTGTATGAGAAAACATATGGTGTTTTTATTCTGTATGCTAGGTGAAATTCTCAGTATCTGTCCCCATATCTCATTCAGTTATGATTTATTGAAGTATTTAAAACGCATTGGAATAGTTACATATATCATGTCAGGTGGTCATATCATGTTGGAGGGGATAGTGTCCATGCATAGAAGACCATTGGTGATAAGTATAAATGTATCTGCTTGGTCTCTGAATACTCCTGGGACTCGTATTCAAATGTCACAAATTGTTATTAATCTGTGTCACCAATGCGCATAATGATATCACGTGGGCAAGTTTATCTATTCTGGTTCACATAAACGTGTAGAGAAGAAAAGCCCAGTTGTGGGAGAGCATCATTTGATTAAAAAGAATTTGTCTAAGACCATGCCTTAAAATTGCCTCTTATTTATATGTACCATACATTAAACTCGAACACAAGCCAAAACTTTTTTGTTTTGGAAAGTGGAAAGCCTGGAACCCCCATCAGCTTACATGGCTATATAATTGGTCAAGTTGAAAAAAAGACAACTGGCCAACGAGTTCAAGCAAAAGAGTTAAAAACCTGCACCCAGCTCCAACGATGAAATACCATGTCTTTTCAAATTGGAAAAATAATTTGTTGGTCTCTTTGCTTTTAAACATATAAGGCTTTGCCCTGTCTGACTCGAACAAGGAGCTTAAAGCGTTATTAAACTCATTTTTTTTTAAATGGGCCCCAGGAGGTATATGCCATCATGTGCCAGTATGCACTGCATATTAGTACATTATGAAAAACTTGCCTGTGAAACAAAGCCCTCCAGCGCTGAGCTGTCATCGCTCCCAGAGTTACCTGGTCTTCCTTTCAAATCTGTGCGCTCTGGTTGCTTGAATGGCCTGGCTGAGCTGATATCACTCTCGCCCATGTGCACAGGAGTAACCATCATGGGATAGCACTCTGCAATCGCAGCATGGCAGTGTGCTGTGAATGGAGAATTAGCTGGGTGAGTGATGTCATTGGCCAGAGCCAGCGCCTCAAACTTCTAAATGCACATCTTTGGTTTAGGAGAGACCTACAGGTATTATTATTATATTATTATACACGATTTATATAGTGCCTTACAATATAAATGGAGGCAGTATATTTACAATACAATAAAATACAAGAGGGTTAAGAGGGCCCTGCACATAAGAGCTTACAATCAAATAGGGTGGTACAAAAGTGGCAAAACTGTGGGGGATGAGCTGATGGAAGTGCTAAAAGTTGGAGGTGTGATAGGCTTTCTTGAAGAGATGAGTTTTCAGGGATCGCCTAAAGGCAACCAGAGTAGGAGATAGTCGGACAGACTAAAGTAAATAGTTCCAGAAGATGAGAGAGGCTCTGGAGAAGTTCTGGAGACGAGCATGGGAGGAGGAGACAAGAGAGCTAGAGAGCAATGGGTCTTTAGAGGAGCTGGGAGGATGGTTTAGGTAATATTCAGAGACAAGATTGGTGATGTAACTTGGGGCAGAGTTATAATTGGCTTTGTATGTTGTTGATAATATTTTGAATTTATTTGCTGGGCAATCCGAAGTCAGTGCTGGGACTGGCAGAGAGTGGTGGCAGACACTGAGCGGTTGGTAAGATGAGTCTGGCAGCAGCATTCAGGATAGAATGAAGAGGGGATAGCCTATGGAGAGGTAGACCTATGTGATGGGAGTTTCAATATTCAAGGCGCGAGATAAAGGGAGTGAATTTGTAGCTTGATGGTTTCATACTCAGTACTAGTAAGTGTTATTATATTTACCATCTTCAATATAGGGCAAAGTTAAAAAATTTAAATCAATACCACTTTAAGCTGACCATTGGGAGAGTGTGAAACATGGTACAATTGGGAGAAAGATACCCTTTGTTGTTACTCTATGACAGAAAGAAGGAGCTTCGTGGCAGGATCACCAGGAACTGTTTAACAAAGCTTCACAATTAAAAAGTGTTGAAAATGACTTTTGAAACTACAGTAACATGATTACACTTATATCACATTTTAGTGATTGAGTTTACTTTTTAAATATAAAAGCACATATGCATAGAATTGACAAATCTTTTACTCTTTTCAGTGTTATTTTTCTATATGAAAAACAACAAAAATTGTTATTGTATAGAATGGACGGTTAAATGTGCTTTAGATTAGGACTCAAAAGAGATTAATGGACATAATTAAACTAATAGACACGTGAACTTGTATGATTTATTTTTACAAGTGCGCCATTAATCACAAATTAAAACCCTTAATAAACCTGGTTTTGACATTTTTCTTTGTGGAGTACTATATGGTGTATTACAAATCGGGCACTTACGTCTGCATAAATATATGTTATTGACTCGGTTCCAATTCAGACCTGTGTTTGTTGCCAGTTTATAGTTATTTTTTACCTATTATATTTTAAAATGTTAAAATTGAATCATCTGCTGTAGAAACCTATGGGGCAAATTTATAAACCTTGGCTGAATCAAGGAACAATTCCCTGCCTGCTTTCTCCCTGCATATTCACTGATAAAATCGCAAATATTTATAGGCTGGAAAATCTGATCTTATTTTTGTCATTTGGAAAAGAATGTTAAAGAGAACCAGTCAGGATGGGGCTTAGATTAGGATCTGAATTGTTCTAAATATACAAGCTTACTTATGAGATGTCTATATTTGTCCCCTTAGGCCATAATTAAGTTAGCTCAACCTGCTATGTTTGTGAATGACTCTTGGCCCTGGTGTCAAAGGTGAGGGGGTAAACTAAGTCTGTAGGCCCTGCTTTGTCAAATGTCTGACCACATGCTAATCTCCTGAGCATGCAGTACAAAACAGTAAAACATGACGCAGTCTTGTATTGAAAGAACCCTGTTGGCATGCTAAAAGTCCCATTAAAAGCAGTGCCTTTATAGCAGAAATTATATATTTACCTGTAAGCAGGAGTTAGGACCCCTTTTAGGGAAACTCCACCCTTTTCTCTCTTTGGGTATGGATTAGAACCTTTTTCCTGAGCCAGCGGGATTAAAAAAGATAGGAGAAGCTTGAAGTTGTACAAATGGGAAGAAGAAGTCATAGAGTTCCTTAAGATGTGGTACCGAGAGGTGTCTAGAATTCTCCCTTTGGTATGCCTTTTCAGGGTCACTAATCCATTTGAGGTATGAAGGTGTAAGAAGTAAGAATTGAGAACAGAATTTTGGCTGAAAACCCATCTGCAGGATGTGTTTCTCTGGTAAATGGAAGATGTTTCTCGAGACTGGGTTGGGTTATGTCTTTTTTTTGTCAGTAAACTGTTGAAAAAGGTGGATCTGACTTGATGATCATTATTGGGGAGAGGGATCTGGATTCCGGATGCAGGGCCTTGGGCCTGGTGCATGGGTATGGAGACAAGGTGGTGGAGGCTGTCCTGGAGGTGGGAAGATCAGTGAACCCAGTCCCTTTGTGTTTCATGAAGAAGCCTGCCTGCACTATTCCTCCTTAGATTATCCCTGCAGCAGGTATGAAAAACCCATGTGTTTCTGAAGGTGCATGGTTTAGGGCTAATCTAAGGTCGGAATGTGAAAGGTTTGGGGCTGATCTGAAATCTGAAGATGCATGCATTGAAGTTTATCCGAGGTGAGAAGATGTATGCTGTGGAGTTGTTCTCACATGTGAAGGTGAATGCTATTGTTCACTGGCACGCCGTTTGTCCATTGCTTGTAAAATTTACCTTAATGTGGAAAAAGTTGCTGACTCCTGCTCTAGACTGTTTCTTTAAAGAAGAACTAAAATCTTCTCCTAAAATGGCATAAAAAATGCAAAACCTTTTTATGTAAACGAATCCTTTGTGTAGTGTCTCTAAGCCCTAGCTAAAACATATGCATATAAAAATATAAATGTGTATTAAAGCAGAAACAATGGGCCTAAAAGGATACCAAGGTTTGATTAAAAAAAAATAGGCTCTATCTACAGGCTTTCAAAAGTTTTAAAACTTTAGTCAAACATAAGTAAAGACTCTTTATGCATGTTCCGTCAAAGGCCCAGGAAAGCATTGAAGTCACAAGGTCAGCATAACACCCAGGCAACTGGCATTTCCAGAAGAAGATCAGAAAATAAAGTGTCGGTTGATTTTTTTAAAGCAAACCTATGGTATAGAATTTAGATAAATGCCATGTCTGTAAAAGAAGGCTGTAAATACCTTTCTTTCTGCCCAGTCCACTCTGATCCTGAGATATCTTCCACTCATTTCAAGATTCAGCAATGATGTGGAGGTCAGCAGTGAGTCAGTGAGTCCTGCTGGGGACCCAGGAGACAAGAGCCCCTAGAAATGTCTGGGTCAGTGCAGACTTTAGCAAACGATTTCTCAGAATAAGAGCAACATTCAGCAAGGAGGACAGCAGGAAAGATAAGTATAAGGTTGCTAAGCTTTAATGCATGCACCTTCAAATTTCAGATCACCGAATCCTTCAAATTTGGACTTTAGGTTAGCCCCAAACCTTACACCTTCAAAAATACAAGAGTTGTGCATACCTGATGCAGAATCAATCAAAGGAAGAATACAGCAGATGGAAACCAAAAAGATAATAGATATAGTTTGGCAACTTCATTGTCTGCCATTTCAGTCTAAAGTCGTGGTTTAGAGAAAGGATA